GAAGGCAAAGGGATGGATGGGTGCACTCACCATCGGGTCATCTACACTATTCTCTTCCTCCAAAGTTTCCCCATTGAGTGGAGTCCTCATCACTTTAGGTTGGGGATCAGTTGGCCCAGATGACTCTTTTCTGGTGGCATCTGGGGCCTTCTCTTTACCGCGCTAGCAGTTGGTGTGCACGTTTGTGATATTGGGGCTGGAGCCAGGCACTCTGACGCTCTGTGGTCAAGTTGACAGCACTGGTGGCCTTTTATTGGACCCCACGAGGGAAGGAACCCAGTTACATCTCTAAACTTAGGAAGCACTTCATCACATTGTTCCACTATCCATCCTGCAGCTTCCCTCTCATTCATCCCTTCTTCCATTGTCGAGAACATTTCTCTGTCGGAAGGTGGAGTAAGAACCTGTTGGGGCATTGCAGGTGAGATTGGACAGTGGGAGAGTCAATCCCTGAGTTGGCCACTGCCCAGTTATCCGACATGGTGCCATCTGCTGAGGGAGAGCAGGTGCTCACTGGCATCTCTCCCATTCATGGCCTGGGAAGAAAGTCCATTCTGGGGTTGTTTGATTCACATGTTGCAGCCCAAACATCACTTGCTAGCTAGGAGATGATATGGCCCAAGCTCCTTTCTGCTGGTTGGGTTGAATTCCCCATGTTGGTGGCCAAGCAGGCAGCCACGGACATCTCTCCCATCCATGACCTGGGAAGAAAGCCTAATTGGGTGGTGCTTGATTCACAGGCTGCAGCCCAACCATCGATGGCTGACTAGTGAGAGATGCTAGCCAAATCCCTTCCTGCTGGCTGGGTTGAATTCCCCATGTCTGTCTGCAACTCAGATCAGGGGAATGGGTCAATTTACTTGTTGCTGTATGGAAGGAGTAAACATCTCCACTCCAGTCCATTGCAGCCTTTGCTAGGGAAGGAGGGGGGAATTTTCACTCACGTTTGACTGCACAAGTTGGTCTGGGAGGCTCCAATCATCTTGTTGGCTACTGGGTGATTGCTTCAGTCCTCTCAAGCCGTGTGTAGAATTAGCCTTTCCAGCCCCCTCCGGCTGCATCTTTCCAGACACTATAATTCTTCAAATTTTACTCCTCCACAAATTCCTTTGCACTTTGCAGAGAAGCAACTCATCATCAGCGTCTTTTCTCAAGGCTCTATCTTAATTCTTCGCTGATATTTTATGCTGACTGGGTCAGCTCAGTGTTGGGAGTCAGCACCCCTCGCCAGCACACCATGCCAGGGTTGCTGGTGATTTATTTTGAGGGCAGATTCGGGATAATGTCAGCATTCCAAATATCATCCAAAATTAAATCAGAGTCCAAGGCAGAGTTTTCCTCAAAGTTCCAATTTATTAAGAGAGACATGTTGGCACATCTGTGGAAAACCCGAAACTGAAAGCTTCCTGGATTTTCCCACCCAGTTGAAAGTTCATGATTTTTCCCCCACACCCACCAGTCCATCACATGGTCCAATCTTCCACTGCCATGCTGGTAGTTCCACCCATCTAGTCCCGGTCAGGCTCAGAGGTGTAGAGACAAAGGATGACCTTGGGCTTCTAGGAAGGAATTTTTTATTTTGACAACAACACATTCTACTCCTTACTATTCCCCCTCCCAATTCGCCACTAATGAAAAAGCATAGTAAAATAATAGAGAGTGTGGCAGGCCAAAGATCCTAAAAAGAATGTATTGTTCTACTAAGGTAGACTAAAATTGTGAGCCTTCCACATAAATATTACATTTCTGCATCATAGTTAGCATGAATATTCTATTGCCAAGCTAAGTAACTGAACATAAGTCCCAAATTCAGTAATTAATGCAAGTTAGTAGAACTTGATCAAGTTCCTCTGCCATGATTTCTGTGTTCTAGGCTGAATTTAAGTTGAATTGAATTTAAGAATTCTGCAGATGCACATCTCTAAGTGGTGGTATTCTCTTCAGTAGTAGGCTATGAATGAAAGATTAGGTCAGGGTTAAGTGTAAGTCCTCAGCCATGTCAATTTAGAGCTGGTTGGCATAGCTATCTTCTCCCAATTGATTTCAGTTAGGGAAGGGAAGTATCCACCAATATCAAATCTTGAAACATCTCTGAAAGCAGCAAATAATCTCATGAAATGTTCACTACATGTCTCATATTTTATCTTACTATTATTCTTATAAAAGTTTTATAGACTAATCAGATTATCTCTACATTAATTGGAAGGCTGAAACACAATCCTGATATTTAAATGCATAAACAATATTAACATTTTCACAAGACATAAAAGCATGCATTAATATACATATGTCACAGCTCAGCAAATCAGCTTAAACCAGTGTAGTGTCATTTCATCTTTAAATCTTGAAGCTCAACATCAACAGGACAGGCTTAGATGGAAAAAGTTAGAAAAATGGCAAACCAATAAATTGCACAGCAGCTTACTCACAACACTTCAGAAAATATGAAACACTGATCAAATCAAGTTTCTGGTTCAAGTATTAGCTAAGTTGCTAATATGAAGGCTTGTATATTTGCATGTTATAAGCATCATTTTGGGGGGAAATCATATCACTATTGCTTCAACTACCCAATCAAATATAAGGAGCAAATATATTACTCATATTTTAAGATTCTTTTTCAGGGATAGTTATCACTGGAGAATAGGATAAAAAATAGTGTTTGTATTACAAAGCACTTACAGTTTACGTGTGTAAGTGAACAGAAAAAACTATATAAGTTGCTACATGTTAATTTTATAAACAGAGACAAAGACGTGCAAAACATAGAATATAAAAGAAATCTCTGATAGAAGCAGAACGTATTAAGATTTTGAAAGAAGAAATTGGCAATTCTCTCATCCTATCTCATTCTACCCTCTCATCTCCCCAACCTTCATTCATTTAAATTCCTTAACACATGAAAATAAGTGCCTCTTTGCCGTATGACTGGTGATTTCTTCAGCAAGCACAGGCTTCTTTCCTGCTTTGTTTTATAAATGTAATGCATGAGCTAATATAAGGAGCCATTTACGGTAAATCTATTTATCAAAAGGTAAATGATGTCATAAAATAACTTTGTACAATTTTCAAAACAGAACTTGAGTGCCCTCTACTGGTTGAAGAACTAATCATGTAGTTGAAATATATCTAGTCAGAGTTCAATATATTTTGTTATAGAGCAATGTAATGAAAATAGTGAAGATACTAAGTATATAAAGAATGCAAACACACTGTACTTATTTGTTCGTGTCCCTTTCATATTTATCTTGGGTTATTCTTTCTTTTTGATATATCCTGATCTATCATGCCCACTATAGTAGTGCTTCTTAAAATGTTTCATGAAACATCAGTGATGCTCAGACAACTTCAACTTATTCCTCCAAGATAGTCCTAAAATCCCATAAAAGGCTTTTCAATTTCATTAACAAAGCAAGCACCGCATCTGGAATTCCATTAGTAGAATATCTTTGGATGAGAGAATATAAGCTTCTGGTGAGAACTAACTCATGGTGCTACCACCATTCCTTCAACATTTCTTTTATAAACATGGATTTTTTCAGCACTTCAATAAACCAAATGTCAAAAGATGATGAAAGATTCTGATTCTAAATCTCATTCCAGAAATTGATGGAAAATGCCATAACGCACTGGGCAGTTTGCCAGGTTCTTTGCAGACAAAAATGCATATATCCTCATATCTAGACTCCAGTGGGACAGAGACATGTGAGATGACAAACACAATGTCTTGTGATCACCTTGGATTCTTCCTCATAAGATCATCTGGCACTGTTTTGGACCTTATGACATCAATGGATGTGGACAGATTTCTTTCTAGGATGAACTGAGTCATCAGTAGATTAAATCTATGCCCCTCCTGGCCTGTTCTATCATTCAATTCAGCCTTTTAAGATAAATACTGTGTTTTCCTGAAAGTAAGACAGGGCCTTATTTTCTTTTGACCCCCGAAATAAGCGCTTGGCCTTATTTTTGGGGAGGTTTTATTATTTTTAAGGTGTAGGCAGCGGCGAGCGTGGTAACCTCATGACTATGTTGTGTTGCAATATTTTTGGGGAGGGCTTATTTTCAGGGGAGGGCTTATTTTAGCCCATGCGCTCAAAAGCCCGATTGAGGTTATTATCTGGAGAGGTCTTATTTTCAGGGAAACAGGGTATCAACCAACTGGCAACCTTCCCTTTCTAGGAAAGGCTGGAGAAGTTACTGGGCAGCAATTACTGAGTACTCTGGACGATACGGATATCTGGATCTCTTCCAGTTGGGATTCAGGCTTGGGAATGTTTGAGCTACACTGATCTCCAAGAGGATTCTGGACCCAATTCAAGGGGCAGGTTGTTACTTAAAGTTTTTATTAGCATTAGAACCACCAACTTTTGGTGGCATCAGTTCACACAATATGAGACAGCCAAGAAAGGATGTGATGAGAACCCACTCACTGAGACTAAAGAATGAATTTCTTGGTACCAGCTCCCTCACTTTGGAATATTGTCCCAATATATGAAATCCATCCTTATTATTCAGAAAGGATGTAAAAATTTGCTTTTACAAAGTTTTTAGACGAAAAACTCTTAAGGTTGATAGCAGTTGTGGGATTTTAGTGAGTATTAATTCACCAAAGTATTACACAGTCCAACCACATGCTATCATAAACTTACAACAATTGTAAGGACTGCATTATTTTCTTTCCATTCAAGAAAAGTATAGTGTGGGATAGCTTTCTAAAGAAATGGAATTATATCTCAGAAGACCTAGCTCCTAAAAGAACCAAGAGCTGACATAAATTCTGTTGTTATGGTGTTCTCTTCCACTAGACCCCCATGACCTCAAGCTCTTCTAGAAAAAATGCATGTGAGATGCATTATTGGTTTTGCACAAAACCAAAAAGGCTGAGCCAACATTATAATACTCTAAAAGGTTTCCATTGCCACTTTCTAGGAAGTTGCCCAGATTACAGTAACATCATATTTTGAATATTTAGTTTATTTAAACAAAATTGTACTTACTTATTTACACCAACAAAGCCAGACCACACTCCTTCACGTATATGTGGTTTAGATGATGGACGCTTAAAGTGTAAAAAAACAATATAAAAGAAAATAAGTAATTATTATTGGTCATTTGTATTCTACATTAGTGACCCAAGAAGGGGACATTTATAATAGCTAATAATTATAATGAAATCAAGTGTTATAACCAATTTTGTTGTATTTAAGTACAATGACAATAGTACTTATACTTAAATATTTTTACAGTCTAAATCAGGTGTCCCCAACCCCTGTGCTGCAACATACTACCAAGCCATAGCCTATTTGTAACTAATATTTAAAAACTTAAAAACCTTACCTTCTTCCATGCACTTTTTTCCCAATGTATGCATTTTAATTCCTACTTTTTCTATTACATCTTTTTGCACTTTCTGTAATACAGGAGTGGGCAACTATTAAAGGATACGTTGAATTGGAGAAGGAAGATAGAGAACGTAACTCTGATAGTTCCCTGAGATTTATCAATGGCTTTTGATGTTACTAGCTGTGGAATTTTTCTTCATTACCTAGTCTGAAGTAGAGGGCTAGCTGAGAAAAGTCCAATGATTCTAATCTAATGTAATGTCCTACAAGGACATTACTTGACATATGGACCATTGTTCTACCCTTTGCAAATGGAGTACGCCAGGTTTGTATCATTTAATTTCTGTTTATTAATATCAATTTTTAATAGTTAATAAAAGTCATCTGAATATTTGGACTAAGGTCTTGTTACTATAAAAAAACATACTGTAAAAGAATATCTTCTAAATATTCAACAAATGTCTCAGGAAACTGAAATATTGTGGATGGGAAAAACCTGCTATCCGAATAAAGTTGGGAGAATATGCTGATAGTACTACAGTACCCTGAAGAAAGAATGGAAAGAATTCTTCTGGTCTCAGTGCCATCTTGGGTGTATAAATGCATTGATTATTATGTCCCACTTGCAGATTTTTAGTTGGCTACTTTGAAATCAGGATGGTCATATAGACAGTTCTATGGTCTGATTCTACAATGCTCTTATTTTTTAAGGTGTGATATCCAATAATGCTTACTGGTTAAAGTGATACAGTTTGAACTGGCTATCAAGCAGTCTAACAATGTTTGTAGATTAGTGTTTTTGTAAGTTTCTTCAATGATAATAAAGCAAGAAAAATGGACAATCATTTAAAAAATCACGAAGAATGGAAAACACTCCTGAACATTAAATTGTATGGGGAAACTCAGCCTTTCCTATAGATATTGAGATAATTGATTTTTAGGTAGACTATAAGTGTGGGAAATAAACAATATTTGAAATTGGAAGCTGTTGCCTGCTGGAAGGAGGAGGCATGACCCAGCATAACTCCCTAACAGGAGCAAAAACAGTCATTCTCCAAAAATAAACAGGGAGAAGGGACAAGCCAAGTGCTGCAGTTTCAACATACCAGATTTCTTCAGCAAAGGGGGCGCAGAAGGGCAGAAGGACAAACAGAACTTAGAAAGCAGGAAATAGCTTCCTTATATGGGCTTATCCGCAAGCGACAGAGCTCAGTCGACTGGAATGACTGTGTCACAAAATGTGAAACCTTCAGGGGCTGCAGTGAATGGAGTTTTCTGATCTTTAAATTATTTCTCCAGATTCTTAAGATGCCAAAGCCAGGAGACTATAGTGCCAAAAAAGGAGCATTTTGAATTGGGATGCTTTAGGGAAACTCACCACATATGGATGTAAAAGACTACATACACAGAAAGACCCCATACATATTTTTGTCACAGAATATACTGAATTCCAAAACATTGATTAGACGCATTCCCAAGCATTGATTAGATGCATTAAGGCAACATATTTGAGCTACACATATGTACAAGCTGTCATTTATTACACTTTTTAAAAAATCATATCTCTAATAACTTTTTCCTAACCTGTAAGTAGTTGATACTGCATCTGTATATACCATTATGAAACTTTCCTCAAAGCAAAACTCTCAATTTTCTCTTATACTTTATAGGCAAGGTATTTAAATGAGACATGTTGCTAACTGTAGACTGTTAATGTTTTCTTTCAATAAAAATAGCAGTTATGTATCCTTTAGAAATATTCAATGTCTATATTAGTTAAAAACAACTAATATCCTAACTAATCAAATGAGGCAACTGTTTCCTTCTTGAGTCTGTAACATATTTAATAGCTCTCTTTGGGTGTTGTAAAGAAATATTAGGCATGCTGAGGGAAAGAGTCATGTTTTAAGGAAAGAGTCATTAGCCATGAGTGGCTTGAGGATCGCTGAAGATCTTAACCTTCTTGGTTCATTCCTCCACTAAAGGAATGGACCAAGAAACATGTTCGTCTGCCATTTTCTAGACTCCTCCCTCACTTTCTCATTATGTGTGCCATACACACTGGCGGAACTCTATGCTTGATTTTAACAAAAATGCTAAATCACATAAAATACAACTTTTAAGTATAGAATGGCTTGGAGGGTTTGTTGTTAACAGAGCTGAAGAATTATTAGAATAGAAATATGGATTTAATAAGTATCCCACAACCATAAATAAAAATGTGTATACGGTGTAGACAGACAAAAAATAAAGACAAAGAAGAGTACTAGATTCAAACTTTGTGGGAGATAAGAGTTGCAGTCCTAGGCAGGATTTTCTTAAGAATAAACATCCCACTAAATTTAGCAAGTTAACTTTCACTTAAATATAAATTTCAGCTGCAGATTAAAACATTAACAAAAAGAAAGTAGTTAATTAATATTTTTAACTTACAAAAAGTAGGAGAGCTTAAAATAAATGGTATCATGGCTGTTGAAGGCAGAATACTTTAAATGTTGGCATAAACTTTGCAAGAGCAGCTATAAGGGTTAAAGAGTGAGTAAAATTAAGATTGGGCAAAAATAGATTAGTCAAGAATAAAAATGGGAGGATAAAAGTAAAGAATACCTAATTGACTACATCTTTGCAAAGTTCAGAGACATACAATACAGTGATAACTGGAAGGAAAGATAGGATCAAAAGGAATTTCCATTGCAAAAGGTATTCAATCATTTTCAAAGTCTCATCTGATGGGACCATGAATCAGGCCTTCCCTGTCATAGTACCTGCCCCCTGAAATATCCCCCCCCCCCAAGATTACAATTATTATTAAAATGAGCATTCAAAATCTGGCTTTCTCCTTGGATTATAAGTGAGTAGAGGATTCCTTAATGGACAACTGATCTGTGAAAAATTGTATGATGACAATAGGTATTTTAGAATTATGTTATTTATCAGAATACTTGTGTTTTGTATTGTTTATATTCTATCATTTAAAATTTATATTGCATGCCATATTGGAATTGGATGACCTTTTATTTAATTAATTAACAATACTGGATGTAAGGGAAGTACAGTGTATTCCTTCACTGAAACTAAACAGGTCTCAGGTATTACATCCGAATAAAAATGCTTTCATATTGTCATTACATTGTATTGACAATACATTTATTCCAATGGAAGTAATCCTTGTTTATGAAACAATATGGATCTTGCAACCTAACTGCCAAGTATGTTCTTTCTATAGAAATATTTATAAATCGTTACTATGTCTAAATTACCTATTTATCCATAGAAGTGTTTTTGCTTAATATAAGCATAGAACCTCTTAAAACTAATCCCTACTTGAAACCTTGAAAAAGGTTTAAATTTTTAGTATCTCTTGTACCTGCTTTGTCTCTTGTCTTGCTTTAATTGAAAAATATATTTTATTATCCTTATATCCACGACCATGTTGTTAATATCGAAATATCCAAACTCTTTTAGGGAGACATAATCCATGGCACAGTACTGTACAGTGTATTTCAATAGTTTTCAATGTTGCAAGGCCAGCCAATGTGAGGAAAAACAGCATTCAAATAATAGCCATTTCCCTCATCTTTTGGTGGGGTCTGGTTAGAAAGAATTTTAAAAAGTGAAATACATGGTAGAATTAGAATTTTTATGTAACCTTTCCCATGAGCTTGTGCTCAACACTCGGCAATGATCAGTGTACTAACAGTGAAGACCAAAATGAAAAGTAGTGGGAAATATAGATACTTTAAAAGTTATTTTGAGGAGAATGATGAAAAATGTAATTGAGGATAAGGAGATAACCCCAGCAGGCCAAAAATAACTAGGCAGCTATTCAAGGTTCTACAGGCTAAATAAAAGACCTTGGGGAGCTTCAGGCTGAATGAGGCTATAGCTCATTTTAAGAAAGCTGACCTAATTAGGGAACATGAGTTCAGCTACATTTTTCAGATTCCTATTGGAGAATCTGGCAACATACCAAGGGAACAGTTGGAAGTCCAACACTTATTGTACAGGCAGCTGGATGGCTTCAAAAGAAGAAACACTGATCCATTCCACAAAGACTTCCATAGGATGGGCAATACTAATACTGATTCTCCTTTGATGGAAAATATATTTATATATTTAAAGTACATGTTTTGAAGAGAGTATTCAAATAGAAAATCTGTATAGATCTCCATATTTCTGTATTATTCAAAGCACATTGTGTTTCCACATTGAGTTTTATATCCCAGAAGTACATGATACTATGCTTTGGTTAATCTAACTATATGCCCTGAATTAAGTAAAAATCCACAACTAGGTGAAATAACAACAACACTGTAGCACTACTGAAAGTGGACAGTTCCCGTCAATGTTGTTTACAAGAATAATGTCTCTGTTTTGCATGATATAATAAATATTGCAATAATTTATTTCTATGTTTGCTGATTCTTTCTGCTTTGAGTTTTTATGGTTTTAAATTTGCTTGTTTTATATATAATTAATATTAAAACATTTTGTCACTTTGGTTGAAAGAAACCACAATTAAGAAAAAAAAACATTTGAATACCTCCTTCTCAGTCACATAGAAAAAGGAGAAGCATGGGGGGATAAAATCCAAAATTCCCTGCTCATTTCAGCCCATTATTATGATGATAAGAATTTAATATTTCATGTGAAAATGAAAAATGTCAAGTCATAGCAGACGTCTTACAGCAAGAAGAAGCTGGGTAAAAAATTTTTTGGCAAACATTATCTAATTTCAGTCTAAAGAGATCATTTGTTCATATTCCAAGGTCTAGAAACACTGCATGGCAGCAAGTATACAATTCTCTCTAATGCCATAGTTAGGCTTTTCAACTTTATATCCTCAGAACCTCTCAGTTATACATGCTGATACTGCATAAAATTGTATGAGAATAGCATTTGAACTAATGTGTCATCAATATAATGAGAATAGTGCTTTTGAAAATTGTCTATTATCAATAATATGTAGAATGAGGAAAAATAAACAATGAACAATTATACTTAGTACAACTAATACACTTCCTGGGCTAGTAAGATTTGACAGCAGTTATTTATGCCTAGATTATACCCTATCCTAACTATTACATGCTCAGTACATGAAATATCCTTTAAAAGTGTCCCCAAGTTGCAAATTATAGCACCTAGGCTGCTAAAGGAAAAGAGATTGCAAGATGTCCATACTGAAATATCTACTCTTTTGATCAATTGCTTATCAAGCATGATTTAAGATGTTGTATTAACTCTTAAAGTCCTACACATCTTAGGGCATGACAATATGAGAATCCATGAGATCTGTTACAAATTTTTCCCTTCAGATTTGCTGAAAAGGTCCTTCTATAGATATCCATGCTGTCAGAGAATTGTCTATTCCTTACACATGTTGATATATTTTTGCATATAAATAAACATTGAATAATTTGTCATTTAACTGACGTAATCGTAAGAAAATATTCCAGTCTGCTATTCAAATTTGCAGTAACTTTGAGGACATTATGACATGCAGCAACCAATCTGAAATATGGTGAACCAAGTAATGCTATTTGATAAAAATTATACCAATGACCAACTTACTAAGTACTTCAAAACATTGTGTTGTAAATGATTACTTGGTAAATAGTCATTCAGAATTTAACAAACCAGCTTTTCCAGCTCTGTCACAGATGTATGAAAATATAACATGTAGTGAAAAGCTATATTTGACAGCATGTTCCAGAAGGACAAGATTTCTACAACTAGGTCTCACAATTAGAAAATCTCACTATGGGTATCTGGACTGCAAAAATACAGACAACTGCCAGACGTCTGCAAACTGCCCAAATTCACTGAGGTAAGATAGACTGTGTAGAAATTTGATAAATAAATACACAACTGTTACTGTATGATATTCTTCTGTTTCTTCTGTTTTGCAATGGTCAACTGGAATTCTGCAATCCAGGAAGGATAGCATTACATTGTTACTTGAGTAACATGTATCCATTTATCAGGAAAGTCAAATCCAAGTCCTCCAGACAATGTTGCTCTATTTAGTTATACCCACCTGTGCAGCCGGAGAGTTCGTCTGGCTAGTGTGGTTTTCTTCTGGAAAGAAATCTTGATGAGCACGTCTACCCATCTTTACTACCTACATGAAGAATATTACGGTAGTTATTCAAAAGATCTGCCTCAGAACTGCACATAATAATTGAATGCAGGAATAATCAATCTGTGGTTAACAGACTATTTTAGCCTGGAGCCATTCATGCATGATGACTTGTAAAAAAAATGATTTTACATCAGAAAAATGAATCCAACAATAAGCATGTGCAGCGAACAAAAATAGGTATCTTTTTTTCTCAAAAAATTGAATAAAGTGTCAAAAAAGGAGAAAAGTAAGCCATTGCAGAATGGGAAGGAGGAAAAAACAGGCAACACTTTCTTTTCCTCATGGAAGGAAAAGAAAGTGGAAGAAATTAAATTCAACTAGAGAGCTATGTTTGACTTATTTTACAAATTCTTTATGTTACATTTGAAAGATTCAATTCTTTTGAACAAAGTGTTCTGTCCCCAAAATACTAAAGGGTAAGCTCCACTGGATACAGTATAGTTTACTTCTGAAAAAGAAAACGTGTATAAATTCCCTTGCCTGTTAAATTTATTGTGAGAGTAATCAGGGATGAAGTTTTGGTTTGTTTCATTGTCCTTCCTCTTTCACAATATTGTATAGGGACCATTCATAACCATCAGATTTAACTACCATTTCTTTGGATGTGCCTTAGTGTGTTATCAGAAAGTGTTCATTAAGGAGGGAAAGATGGACAAGCTTCACAGCAATGGTTTTTGGAGCTATCACTCAGGAAACACCTTTGAGAATAATTGATGTATAACGGGGTGAAAAGTCAAAAAGCTTCACCAAGAAGAGTTAAGGGATGAATGTCTATTGAGATTCTCAGTCATCCAGGTCATGGTTGTCCCAAAGATGCTTTTTCAAGAGGCAACGGGACTTTCTGGGTTTTCTTTGAAGACGTTTCGCTTCTCATCCAAGAAGCTTCTTTTCCCCACCATCCTGTCAGAGCTGAAGAAGTTTCTTGGATGAGAAGCGAAACGTCTTCAAAGAAAATCATAATAAGAGGCAGAGCTTCCCCTCGTACGGATGTCAACTTGTAGCAATGATCGAAGTGCGTTTCTGCTGAGAAAAAAACATTCGCCCGGGAGGCTCTGCTGCAAAGTTCGTCGTTTAAAGCCCTTTTAACGACCGGCGCGCCAAATCTGAGTTTGTCAACGGAGCTGCGGCACAAACTTGGCTACGCACCTATCCAGAGAGAGACCTACTCTGGGGCCTGGAGAGGGAACTGGGGCTGGGTTTGTGGAAGGCGGGGAAGGCGGGGGGGGGCAAGACCTCAGCCGCGAAGTCCGGCTAAATGCCTGAGGAAGGAGATTCTTCGCCCGCCAAAGGAAATCACGCAAAAGACGGGCTGCAAAATGGGCCGGGGGGGAGAAAACATGTCCGTCCGTTACCATGGCAACCATGTCCTCTCGCTCGCCTTACCCCCTTGCAGATCTCCTCATCCAGCTCCAAATCGTCCTCCATCCCTCAGGCCCAACGTGCCCGGAGCGCGAGATTGGGAGCGAGGAGCCGTTTACTTCCGGAGGAAAAAAAAAACACCCGCCCTTTAAGCGTCCATAGCAACCACGACTTCCGCTTAACGCAGAGGTCTTCAAACTTGGCAACTTTTAAGACTTAAGAACTTCAACTCTCAGAATTCTCCAGCTGGAGAGAATTCTGGGAGTTGAAGTCCATAAGTCTTAAAGTTACCAAATTTGAAGACTTCTGGCTTAAAGGGTCCGCGGTCATCTTCTGGCTGGAGGATTGGAGTGAAAGGTGCTGACCGTACAGTATTTTTTGCTATCCCCCTGGACGTATTTAATTACGTGGGTGCTAGCAAGACACGTGTTTAAGCATTGCTCAGTCTTAAGAACTACTGCACATATGTCTCTAAGTCAGGGATCGTGGAGGCTCATTGAGGACAAGCTGTGAATATTAAGAAATCTAAGAACTAAGTTAAAACTAAGGTCTAAATTAACACAAAAAACTAAGAAAAGCAGAGACGTCGAAAGTTTAATGCCTAAGAAGTCTGTGCATTTGTGTTTCAGATGATAAAAATCTTTCACCCTGAACCAAATGCTTGATTTTCAAGAAATTGAACCCCGAGATAATTTCTCATATTGGAAATTTCCATTCAAGTAACATATTTCCATAATTTTACCTGCTGGAAATGTATTGCTTTTATGCTAGCAAAGCAGTCACACAAATACTCTTTATTATACATTTTTTTCTGATTATTGAGCAATTTGCATAACATGTCTTTTACTATAGCATGCAGATAGTGAAGGTTGATCAATGCATGTTCTTGTAGCTCTTTCTATTACACTGGAATATGTAATGTTAATTGGATTCATTGGGCACTAATGACTCAATCTTTATGAAAAAAGATCACTTCCTTATTTTCTAAATTTTTAAATTCCTGCTTTCTATGTGCATTGTGTTCTTTCTCTTTATACATTTGGAGAACTGTTGTCATTGCTTTGTTTGGTTGCTATATTTTATATTTTGAATATTATTCTCTAATAGAAAAGTAAAGTACTTATTTAACATTAAATCAATTAAAATATTACCTATGGTATGGATGTAAGGAATGGCATATTTCCAACAGGCATGTTTTCATTCTAAGAGCCACTAATATAAAAGTGGAAATAGATTGTCACAGGAAGAGAAATGATTTAAAAAAAATAAAAAGTCGCAATAGCATTAAGATTCAAGATATTGTTTAGCATCTGGAAATTACTGGGAAGGGAGGATGATATATAGTAATGCCAAAATATTCAATCCATTCTCCTTTTCCGTTTCAGGAACAAGCTTCCTTGAAAACCGTTCCAACAGGAGCTGCTCCTAAAAGCGAAGCGAGCACTCTCCACCAGAGGGCATTATTCGCTTCCTTGGCTACGCTTTATTCCTATGCTGCAGCGATTTATGTAATAAATAAAATTAATGAAGTGGGGCGGGGTCACGACGCACCGCATAGTTCTTTTTTATTGTTAATTTTAAAGATGCTTAAGAAGAGAGCCTGATTTTGGGGGGGTGTACAAAAATACAAAAGATGATTTTACAAATTCTAAAAATTAAATTAAAAACACAACACACGGGCATTCCAAGCCGCTTGCTAAATCAGTTCGCAACCTCACATTCCCAATACTTTACAAACAAAACAAAACGGGAGAGAACATCCAGCTCTTCAAAACACAGCATAACTGTTTCTTTTTCTTTTTTCCTCTTCAAGGTCAACATTTTGTCACGGCGCCGTTTCAGCAACTATAAGACTGAGCTTTTCGGCGCTGTAACATTGTAATACGTTCAATCCATAGTTAAAAACGAGGATCTTTATTAGAATTCAACCGATCTGCCAAGTTTACTTGGGAGAAATCATTCCACCAAGCTTTATATTTGAGTATGGCTCCGGGATGGAATCAGTTCAGTTCAGTTCGTCAACTGAAGCCTTTGGTGCTGGAGAATGATTCGACTGCAGGATCATACAGGTGTGCCAACACATAGATTCCACTTGTTGGCCCCACGGGTGATCACGACAGAGTGGCAAAACACCAGCACACAGAAAAAACGCTTGGGATGCTTCGAGGACGCCGCCTGTAATCGAGGCGCCTCGAACAATTTCCGACCAACTTTCCCTATTTTATCTCACGGCCCTGGATTTTCGGGCCCGCCATTCTTCTGGGGAGAAGGCGGGGGGAGGAAGAGAAAGGAAAGACGGTGCAATTCGTGAGGCGAACCTTTCAGCCCCTAACTGATAACTTCGTCGAAGCTCGGGAGCCGAAGCGCTCAGGCGCCCCCGCCTTCCCCAGAGCCCGAAGACGCCCCCAGAGCATTGCGCTGGAGAGAGAAGGAGGGAGGGAGAGAGAGAGAGCGAGCCCTCGGTTGCTCCCCCTGTGCCCGGCCCGGTCTCGAAGACGTCATGAGAGGGAGGTATAAAATTTCAGGCGAGAGAAACAGAGGCAGGCAGTGCGCCTGGCGAGAAAAGGCAGAGGAGGCGGACGGCGAAAGGGGGCCGAGGGAGCTCGGTGGCGGTCGAGAGCGGAACGGCTGGGTCTCGGCGGAAGAAAAGAGGCGGCTTCCATCAGAAACTGGGCAGACGGGCGACGGCGGACGAGCTCCGAGAGCCGGTCAGGAGGCACCGCTAGCAGCTTTGCCCGCCCGCCCGAGCGGAGCTCAGGAGCTCTTGAGGGAAGAACAGCCAAGGCCCTTCAGGCGCGTCTCTTGAGGGGACCCGGTCCCGGCGCATTTCCCACCGGCATGGCGAGCGACGAAGCAGCATGAATGGGCAGCCACAAGGGCTCCCTCGGTCCCTGACACGTGCACTCCCCGTGGAGTCTCCTCGCCGCCTGCCTCCTCCGAAGCTGCCCAGCAGCGCAGCGGGATTGGGAGCCCGGGCGAGACGGTGAAGCCGGCAGCTCGGCCCGATTTGCCCCCCTTGCGCGGACGCCCTCGCCCCCATGGAGAGGAACCCCGGCGGGGCGGAGTGCCGATCCGCTTCCTCCTCTGCCTGGACGGCGGCCGTCGGTGCTTCCTAGGCTCCGGAGTCCAACCCGCTCCCGAGGCCGGCGGGGAGATCCTTCATGCCCCTTCTTGCTAAGTGCCAAACGGCAGGATCTGCTTGGTCGCCCGCGGCTTCCCTGCGGAGTTACCCCGCCGCTCTTTCCCCACCTTGCGCCCCGCCTGAAGATGCACTTGCGCGGGACTTTGCTGCTCCTCTCGCTCCTGAGCTTGGCCACCGTTAGCCTGTCGCTCTCCTCCTGCACGACGCTGGACCTGGAGCACATCAGGAAGAAGAGGATAGAGGCCATCCGGGGCCAAATCCTGAGCAAGTTGCGCCTAACCAGCCCTCCAGAGAGTGTGGGGCGAAGCCACGTGCCTTATCAAGTCCTGGCTCTGTATAACAGCACCCGGGAACTACTAGAGGAGATGGAAGAGGAGAAGGAGGACAGCTGCTCTCAGGAAAACTCGGAGTCCGAGTACTACGCCAAAGAGATCCACAAGTTTGACATGATCCAGGGCTTTCCCGAACACAGTAAGTCCTTGTTCCTTCTGGGTTCCTGGAGGGCAATTTAAAAAGTGTGAAGAGGTGGGAAATGTTGCCTACTGATCATTTATTCAAAGGAGGGGGGGGGGACACAGCATCTCCTCTTGAAAGAAAAGTCACCAAGCAGTTAAAGATTGGAGTGTGGAAAAAACCTGTGACAACAGCTGAGTCCTTGTTGCCTTAGCATGACTGAGTCCTCCTGTAAGCATAGATCTGAATCCAAGGGACAGCAGTCTGGGTTCTCTGCAGTTGCTTAGCTGTTTGTAAATTCCTGGTTGCAAAAATGAAGAGCATTTCTCTGCCAGGTCTCTTGAGAGATCTATCCTGATAAATAGTTTTCCCCACCCCTTTTAGGATGCAGAATCTTTTGGCAATAACTGTTCGTTGCGGCATAGTGTATCAGTGAGTGGTGAGTGCTTGCCAAGACACTGATATTTATGCAAAAGGATGAGGGTATACTTGTATGCATGCACCGTCAGAGCTGATTGCCTGGACATATATTAGATGCACAAGTGATTTTGCAAATATGTTTGTGTTTGTGTCTCTGTGCGAGTATGTCTGTGTATATGAGCAAATACAAAAGACAGAGGTAAATGTGTTTCCAACATAACCAGAAATGTTTAAGTATATGTGTTGGATGTGGAGAGAACATTTTGAGTATGAGAATAAAGTGTATCTGACTTTAGAAGTGGCATACAAATTTAACTCATGGGCGAAAGTTGTGGGTCAAACAGATTTGTACAATGATTTGTTAATACCTATCTTTACCAAGCATATTTCAGGTTTGGGTCTGGTAGTGTGCTCAGATGGGTTTTCTAATAATGGAAGAGTTGGAGAAAGAGGCTGTGAGTTTCTGGCCATAAGTACTTTTTCCTTGACTGCCATTAGGTGTCCTCATGGACTCTCGAATTAATAGCAGAGCTGAGTGGGAGGTGAGACAGAAGACGTGGCCAAGTATCCTTGAGGGAGGGGTAGAAAAAGCAACAAGAGAAGAGAATGGCAAGAATATCTTCCAGTTTGTTGATGATAACTGCAGAGACCTGAAGATAGATTGAGTGATGAGGGTGAGAGCTTAGTCAATTCAGGCTGCAATCTCTGCACCCTTTCTTGAAAGTAAGTTTTTACTAAGGAAAGTAGGGCTGGCCTCTGAGCAAACACCAATAGCCTCTTGGAAGACTGCAGCCTCTCTAAACCCAACAGTTACAAACATCATGGGTTTTTTATGTTGTGTAGCCCCTCTTCCCACAGGTAGAAAAGTTTTTAGCATTGGTAATAAGCAAGCTCAGCTAGCTTTCAGTGCCTTGGAATAACATCATCCCCAAATCCAGACAGTGTGAGAAGAACCAAGGATATCTACAAAGCTCAAGTAGGTGGGGGGAGCAACAAAGAACATGAGTGGGTGGGAGCAATGTACTTCAAGACTGAGAGAGCAAAATGTTTTGATGCTTTGAAGCCAAAATTATTTTTGAAGGACAGAATA